TCCCTAAATCCCTCAGGAAAATAAGAATCTTGAGGTGGAAAAAGCAGAATGAGTACTTTGGGGAAAAATTTTTTCCTAACCCTGAAAGATCGATCCCCCATTCCTTGGTGAGGAGGGGCTTAAGCTAAGTCCGGCCTTGGAAATAGATGTGAGGAGATGTTACACCAGAAGCACTAGGGAGTTTTGATTAAAGATAGGGTTGGAGGAGGCAAGTGAGAAGAATTAGAAACGCAAGAAGAATTAGAAACGATACCAAGGTTTTGAAGATCAAATGAATTGGAAGCCTTGAACAAAAAAGCCCGAATGTGGAGACAGGTTTCTTTTGCAGGAGGTAGAGGAGAGGGATATCAGAGGAAAGGGGAAAAGCGAGCAAAGCTGAAGCCAAGGTTATACATGTTGAGTTCACAGACTTTTTAAGGTCGGGAAAGCTGGAGAACAGAATCTTTATTTTGACAAAGAAGTGATGACATGTATATTAATTTGGGGAGAGAAGAAGACTAGACTCGGCTGACAGCATGGAGTAGGCCAGAGCAGAGAAGGAAATTATACAAACAATACGAGCTTCGTGTTCCTCTTTAAGGAAAAAAAAATCAAGTTACAAATAGATGTGTGCAAATGTGTGGACACTGAGTCTGAGGGTTTTATCACGCCTAGCGGTCAGTAAGGCTGCACAAGAGAAAACCCCGAGCCCAGAGCACCTCTTATCTACCCACTGCTGTGGCAGTGGCCAGAGCCAAGGAACAAGGCAACCAGCCCTCATTATACACAAACAAGGCTGAGTGACCTCTCTGGATATGCCACAGGCTTACACATGAACACCTCCATTCACACACACACCCTGTTCACTCACCTTCCTTGTATTCCTAATTCCTAACCACCATTCAAACATTCTTTTCATGATCCTCTTACAGAGGAAGCAAACTCTAGCTTTCCCAGACTCTTGATTAGCTCAGGTCTCATGCTGAGCTCAGTAACTGCATCCCCTCCCACACTGAGTTACAGTCAGGGTCTTTCTGGCTGACTTGGGGCGAGGGTATGGAGTGAAAGCAGACAATGACCTCGCTCTGTGTAAGATGTAGTTCAATTCCTTGCATGTTGGACTCTGTATTTCAACAAGAACTATGTGAATGTTGGTTTTGTTAAAGAGAGAGAGGGCTACAGCAGTTCAGTGATCTCACAGGTGTTAGGAAGAAGTTAACGAATGGTGAGAAGGAAATGGTTTATGTGCTCTTGGAGTTTATAGTTTCATGGGTGGAAAAACCAAACACACAGAGACTCATGGGATAATTCAAGAAGGTATGCACCGAGACAAAGGTAGGTCAAAGAAGAAAAATAATATTCTGATTTAGGAATAGAGAACAAGTCACAGGGAAGAGCTGAAAATTTAAATTTGGCTTCAAAGAGTGCATAAACTCTCAGTGGGTAGATATGTTGAGGGAGGACAATAGAAGCAGAACAAGGTCACTGAGACAGGAATGCACGTGGCCATTTGAAGAACAGTAAATAGTTTAGTTTGGCTGGGGTTTAGGGGAGCAGTAGGAGATAAAGTTAGGAGCATAAGTTGGGGGGCTATGAAGAAGGACTTTGAATGCCAAGGTGAAGACTTTGGGTGCTGGGGAGCTATGGAAGGCTTGGAAGGGGGTGGCCTGGATCAGACCTGGCCCTAAGAGGTTTAATCCTGCAGTGTTAACTGGGAGGGATGACAGGCAGAGAAAAACTTTAGCCATGTGGGTTTCAACATTTCTATGTCTCTCCAGGTGAGAGTGCTCATTAAAATTCGGAATGAGGGTCTGGTATTCAGGAAGAAAGTACAGTTAAGATCTCTGTGGCCTTAGTTTCTTCATCAGTGAAACAGGAACTTGAATGCTTACTTTGAGGATCATGTGGGGGACCAGAGAGAACGCTTTACAAACACACAGAACCCGACTCCTACTAGGCACAAGGCAGTTAATTGAGAGTAGCAGCATGCAAGGTGGTGGATTATTATAGTCCTTCTTTGTAGCTCTTTTGTTCTTGCCGGGATTTAGCCATGAGTTCAGGAAACCAAACCAAATTGCAAAGTTTTACTGTAGCCAGAATCACCCTTCCCCTGAGGCGACCGGGTGCTATATATACTACAATATACAAGGCTGTATATTGAGACAAGTGGTCATAGGGACTACTTTTCCCCCTAAGGTAACCTCTCTCCTGGGAGAGTCTGTAATCCTGGTAATTACAGCTCTTTTGAATGTCTCTTTGTTTTGTTTTCTGTGTCCAGACACAGCAGCTCAGAAAAGCAACTACCTTAGATGGATAAATGAAAGGAGCTAAATATACGTAAAAATACTGCTTATTACTTAAGGTTATACGGAGACTATAAATATGTGTACAGATACATACATGTAAAACTTTATATGTCTGTGTCCCCAAACAACACATACACACACACACACACACACACACACACACAGAATGGGAATTAATTAAAAACATCAAACTCAGAAAACTGGTTACTTCCTAGGAGGAAGATGGGAAGACAAATACAAATGGAAGAGATGCCTTGAGAGTTCCAACTATATCTGTAATGTATATGTTTTAAGCTGCATATAGGATGGGTAGATATTTATTATGTTATCATTTACACATTTGTATGTAGGAAATAAATCATATAGTTCTACACCTATGTATTTTTACATTTTAAAATGCAGAGAGTAAGGTCTCTATTTCAGAAACGGTGAGCTTGAGGAGCTATTTGGGCTCTTGCCCAAAGGGAAACCAGCTATGGAGAGAATCCTTTGCTGCCTGCATTTGATTCAGCCAGCAGACAGACTGCCAACCCTCAAGTACTAAATAGGGATTCCCAAAAAGAGCTGGGTAGAGGAAGAGAAACAGTCTTGAGCACCTCCCTAGAGGATACCTACTACAAAAAAAGTGACAGTGAAGTAACACCAGCAGCAGAAAAAGCTAGAGGAACAGATGGGTTGCTAAAAATGAAAACAAAGGAAATGCAATTTCTTAGGTTCCTGGGGAGAATGAAAGCATGAGCGAGGAAGTAATCGCCTGTGAGGGACAGCAGGGAAGAAAGTAGAAAGAGAAGACAGTTTGACTTGTCCAGAAAAATATTTGTACTGATCGTAGCGAGAATAAATTTGGCAGGACCAAAAAAAAAGCAATTTCTGTGAAAAAACTTCTACTTCCAGACATGAACTTTGCCTGGAATTGAACTTGCCCTTTCACCACTAAATAGCTAGAAAATTGAGCAAAATGTGTGAAATAGTTGCTTTCTTGAGACAACACACGCTGCAGGATTGGGATCCTCAAAGAAGAGAAAATAAATGAAATGAACTCTACAGTACTCCCGGCTCTCTGCCCAGAGGCCACTTCTGGGCCAGAAGGAAGGAAATCCAAGTAGACAAAGATGTTTTGCTGAGATATGGGGAAAAGTATCAGAGTTTGGGGAGACTGAGGTAGCTGGAATTTGTAAAGCATGCAGAAAAAAAGACTCAAAGTCTTTTTTTTAAATATGAAAATTTATTACTAATGTCTTTTCATCATCAAAATTTATGATCTCCATCTTTGCTTCTTGCCTTTGTAAAGAGCCAAAAGAGATACACTGGCTACTTTAAGGAGCTGGGAATTTAGCTCAGCAGCACAAGTGCCTGCCTGGCGTGCATGAAGCTGTGAGTTAAATCCTCAGTACTCGCAAACAAAAACAAAAACAAAACAAAGCCTTAAAATGATCTCCAGAAATGGCCCCCAAAGCATCACCTTTGTGACCAAATCTAGCAACCAGAGCTTCATCATTTTCCTCCATAAAGTTCAAGTACCCATTATTAGAAACAAAAACTGATTTTTATGTTATTCTCGATCATTTGGATCCTAACACATTTCCTGACGCTGGAGTCATCCAAGCAAAAGTTATTAGAAATCTAAAGAAGGAAGAAAATGTGGTTTATAAACAAAACAAACACAGTCAATATAAACAGAGCAGAAATATTACGGAGTATGTTATTGAGTGACAAGGTCATAACCATACTATTATAAATTGCTAAAGAGTGTAACAAAAGCCGTAAGAGTAGAAGAATCTAATAGAAATTCTAAAAAAAAAAGAACCAAATGGAACTTTGGGGACTGAAAAGTACAATATCTGAAATGAAACATTTACTAAATGGACAATGAAGAAGAGACCAGTGCACTCAAAAATACAGTAGCAGAAACTATCCAGGGGCTGGGGATTTAGCTCTCAGTAGTGTGAGCACCTGCCTGGCAAGTGCAAGGTTGTGAGTTGGATCCCCGGTACAAAAAAAGAAAGAAAGAAAAGAAACTACCCAGACTACAGAAAGGAATACTAAACATAAAAAATTAATAGGCACATGGTGACCCATGGGAATATGACAGATTAACACAATTTGATTGGAATCCTAAAGGCCAGCAGATAAAGAAATAATAACAGAATATTTTCCAAACTTGATGAAAACTATAATCACCTAAATTGAAGAAACTCAACCAACCCTAAATAGGGTAAAAATCAATTGAGACAGAAAGTGCATTCCAGAGGCCAGGGGCATGACTCCGTGGTTGGATGCTTGCCTAGAGAGGATTTGATCCTAGCTTTTCCAAGACCCTGGGTTGCATCCCCAGCATCACACACACAAAAAGTGCATTCAGAATTTTCTCGTAATACAGAGATTTTATGAATGGCACTAGTTCAGTAAGGAAAGGGAATGTTTTGCAAAATATAGGGAAGGATACAAATTGGGGTATGGAAAAGTAGAAATTTAGGAGGCCCAAACACGAAAAATAATAGAGAATAAGAAGAGACCCATCTGGAGGAACCAAATACTGGAATGTGCAGACAAATTGCGGAGTAAGAAAAGAAACTCAAGGGAATAAAGGAGCCTGGAGTGGACCTTTACATTTGCTAGGAAAGTAGATTAGTTATCCCAGGAATGTCTTTGTTGTAAAAGCAATCTCTCCAAGTATAATCTCCTTTTTAACTCTTTTCTTTTCTTTACCCAGGAAGAAGATAGGAGCCATCAGGGTATTGCAATTCTTGATTACATGGAGATTTTAATTACATATTATGGGAACTCCAGTGATCACGTTCTGGTCTGCCTTCCAGAAGAAGGAACAGGTAAGAATTACTGCATCTGACCCTGTGAGTGTTCTCTTGTTCCACTTCCACTGTGCCGTAAACAATGTTGGTGCCACACTCTCAGACATCCCCACCTCCCAAACTGCAAGAAATACATTTCTTTATAGATTTTCTAGTCCATAATATTATGTTATAGCAACAGCAAACAGACTAAGACAAACGGCAAGTGCAATTTTTAAAAATCCTAGACATAAAATGGATAACTACAGGAGATATTTTCAGCAAATACATCATGAATTTGATAAGAAGTTTCTTTTCAGTAGTTAATAGACTCAATATTAGTTGCCTGAGATGAGAATTAGCTACCCAACAAATATTATTTTTTAAAAACTTGAGCAGGATCTGAGCTTGTAATGTTGGCAAGCTATGCATAAGAAAACTTGGATTCTTATATTTTAAAAAAAGCAACCATTTTTAAATGGAGAAGAAGTAAAAAATTACTATTTTAGCTGTGGAATTTTGTTGGAAAAGTATAAGAAAAAATTCGAAAGATATTTTACAAATAGTGAAAGCTTGGCACAGCCATTATGGAAAACAGTTTGGAGGTTCCTCAAAAAATTAAAAGTAGAACTACCATATGGTCCAGCAGTCTCACTTCTGGGTATATATTCATGGGAAGTGAAACACTGTCTCGAAGAGCTATCTGGACACCATTCATTACAGCGTTATTCATAATAGACAAGATATAGAAAGAGCCTAAAACGCTTGATGGATGAATGGGGAAAGAAAATGTGATTATATATCGTATCAAAAATATATGCTTCAGCCTGAAAAAAGAAAGAAATCCTGCCATTTGCTAAGTTGGAGGACATTATGCTGAGTGAAATAAGCTAGGCACACAAAGACAAATACTGCATGATCTCATATCTGGAATCTAAAAAAGTTAAACGCAGAGAACAGGAAAGAAGTGTGGTTCCTGAGGATTAGGAGGTAAGAGAAATTAGAGATACTGGTGGAAAGACATAGGCTTTCATTTATCAGATGATTAAATTCTGGAGAGCTGATGTACCACGTGATGACTATAGTTAATAATATATCGTAGACGTGAAATTTGCTAATAGACTAGATCTTCCGTATTCTCACCACACACACACACACACACACATACACACACACGCACACATGGCAAAGGCAGGGGAGTGAGAGGATGACTATTTTACTTATTTGGTAATCATTGTATTTCACAATGTGTATCAAATCATCACGATGCACATCTTGAATATATGTGATTTGTGTTTGTCAATCTGACCTCCATAAAGCTGAATGCTCTTCCTGTAAGCACCTGAACGATTGTCCACGGATTGCAAAATCACCATCGATATCAAAGTTCAATTGATTTAAGGTTGAAAACTCGTAAGGACTTTCCTCAGCTTAGTTACTGAGATACTGCTCATTTAATACCTGGAATGTGTTTTATTGGGGAAGACTTTTTTTTCAAATTAATTTTCTCAAAAAGCATAATTTTGCAGCCTATAAATTGAACTCATCCGTGTAGGCACTTTTAAAAAATCAGTCAAAATCTTAAGCCAAACATGAAAAATGTAACTTCCATCATAAGGAAGAATGCTGTAAGTATGTTAAAAATCTGGATTTATTAAAACACACACACACACACACACACACACACACACACACACACACAGGGCCTGGGGATATAGCTCAGCAGCGTAAGTGCCTTCCTGGCAAGTGCTAGGTCATGAGTTCGATCTCTGGTACCAAAAAAAAAAAAAAAAAAAAAAAAAAAAAAAAAAAATCTGTATTTATTGTAATTTTGGAGCAAACTCCCCCACAAAACTGATCTTTTGTCTATTGCTTTGATCCTCTTAAGTGACTCATACTGAAGATATCTGTATTCAGATGTTTTAACAGTGCTATAGCTATGGTCATTAATTTTTTTTTTGGTACTGAGGATCGAACTCAGGACCTCGTGCTTGCCAGGCGGGTGCCATGTGGCTGAGCGACATCCCTGGCCCTAAAATTGTTTTCTAGACATGCAAATGCTATGAATCATCCCCTTGTGGAATTGTTAAAGGAAACAGAAGAAAGTTAATATGATGATCTTGTGCTCTTTGCCAAGGTTCACTGGTTAAATAGAGGAATTTTGACAAAGATTTATTATCCTGTTACTTCTTAAGATTTTCTTCAAACAAAGGAGTATTTGCCAAATATTCAATAACCAAAGACAGCAGTGTGATTTGTGTTTTCTCACTACTTTCGCACTGCATATGAATGAGCTAAATTTGAAGTTCTAAGAGAAGGAAAAGCCTTTGGGTGACTTAGCTGATAGGTACAAGAATTTTTGTTGAAATTGAAATTTTTAATACTATCCATTGCTATCAGATTTACACATTTTTTTCTTTTTTTGATTCCAGGAATTGAACTCAGGGCTTCACACTTGCTAGGCAGGCACTGCACTGCTGAGCTATATCCCCAGTCTCAATTTCAAACATTTGATTAGCACAAATTAATTGGCAGGTTTTCACTGTAGTCAAGACCATTATGCAAATTAGTTGCAAAGACAAAAATGTAGGAAGGACACATTAGTCATACGGTATTGATGAATTTATTGTTGCTTTCCAGCTTACGCAACACGTTCTTGAATTCAGTGTTAGTAATACTGACTTGGTCCAAAATTTAGCGAATTACTTAAACATAATTTTTAAAATGATAGCATTTAGCTTCAAAGTTAAGCCAATTCTAAAATAATTGGATCTGACAGTATGGATGCAAATATTAAGACAAGAAAATTATTTTTGGTACTTGACTCAGTTATTGGAAGACTGTTAAGTACATTTGGAGTAAACTGGGTATGTGAATCTACTTTTTCAACTATAAGTTATGCGAAATATAAATATAGATCAAGGTTTGTGATGCAAACTTAGTATTTGAATTAAAATATGCTTTCAATTTAAAAATATACATTAATTTAGAAGAGAATATTTTACATAAAAAGAATGTAAATTAAGTTTGTAATTAATAGTTTTTGTATTGACTATATGTTGAAATGATAATATTTTGGGGTTTTTGGCTAAATAAAATGTATTATTGAAGGTGAATTTTACCTTTTAATGTGGATAGATAACAGAACATTTAAATTAGGTGTGTACTCACACTATATTTCTGTTGGCAGTTTTGTTTCAGAGCTTCAGAGACTGTGGTCTGAGAGTAGACAACTTGAATCAAAGGTCTAGTACAGTGAAAATGAAATTACAGCACACGTGTACCAGCGGGCTGTTTGTTATCATCAAAAGCTCTAAAAGCTTCGCCATCACTGGTCTGGTCTATGACATTCCTTAGTTGTATATACTAGACAAGTTTAAAAACATATCCATTTTTTCCCATAGAAAATGGGGCTAAGAATAATTCTTACAGAATTTTTAACTGGGGGTGTGTGTGTGGTACCCATCTTGATAACCCCAGCACTCTGGGAGGCTGAGGCAAGAGTCCAGCTAGTCTGAGCTCAGCCTGGGTAATTTAGTGACTTAGTGAGATCTTGTTTCAAACTAAGAGATGAAAAAAGACTGGGGATGTAACACAGTGCAAAGGCCTTGAGTTCAATCCCCATTACTGGAAGAAGGGAGGAAGGAAAGAAAGAGAGAACAAAATGAGAAGAGGAAGAAAGAGGGAAGGAAGGAAGGAAAAAGAAAGAAAAGAAGAAAAAGCAAGAATGACAAAAATAAAGAACGCTTAGTTTGGATGCATAGTAATTACTGTACATAATTGCTATTATTATTATTATTTGTTATTATTATTTAATCTCGAGAGATTCTTTAACCATTAATTAACTCAGGTGTAAAATTATAACATCTACCTTGCAATATCACTCCTTGAATTAAATGAGATACTCTACCTCTGGAAGCTTGGGGAATCTGGCATATGGTCACTGCCCTTTGGACATCTCTATAGTCCTGCTCAGCTCACCACTCTTCAATAGTGTGTGGGAAAGAAATGGTCAACCACGAGGTGCTTTGGTAACTAAATGTTTGTTACCATTCTGCATGGTGCAGTTCCTCTCGTGGGTACATGTTGGCTGAACTCAGCTTGCTTGGGGTCTCTCTAGCTCCCCTCCTACTATTTGTCTATGAGCCTGCTCCGTGCACTCCAGCCAGGGCATCTCTCTCTCCACTAAGCAGCTGAGACATTTCCTGCCCCTTGCAGGTACAAGGCATTTAGTCCTATGCTTCCTTGTATGGTTGTTTATAGAATTTTTGTGTCCATCTCTCTGTTCAGATTAGGGTTTTAAAATTTGTAAACTCCCCAATGACACATGATAATTGCTCAAAAAAAAATTTAGCCAGCCATGGGAACATTTGGAAAAACGAAGGGGGAAGAGAGGACTTTGACCTGTGAGATCCTGGTATTCTCTACAAAGAACAAAAAGCATCACAGAAGAGAGGAAATTCTATGTAAAAGCTTGAGCTGCTCATGAAGGGGCTGATAGGGACACTGAGACAGGCAAAGGTGATGGGTAAGGACAGAGTCAGAGAGCCAAGTGGACACCTGCCTGCAGGACTGTCCTGGAACTCAGAGCAGAGCTCCTCCTTGGCCGCTCCTTCCGACAGCTATTTTTGGCCACACTCAGTTTTAGAATCTGCCATGAGACCTCAGCCAGTTCTCTGCTGATCTCAGACTGTTTATTCCCAGGGCTTCCTTCCTCCTTCCTGGAGCCTTCCCCATACCTAGGTATGTAGAGTGCTGGGCAGTGCTTCTTCCTACAGGAAGTCGGGGTGCTCTACCTGAAGACACCTTACCATCTGGTCAATGCCATCCCTAAGCACACTGCCTACCCCGTAACCACTAACTGATTGAATGTCACAAGATTCATTCTCATTTGGAGGGAAAACCACATCCAACACGGAGAGAAATCAGCTACTGCCCAACCATGAGGTTGAGTCTCATGCACAAGATTCAACTTTGTGTTGTATTTTTATGGCTCCCACGTTTTGGTGAATTGGCAAGAAGAAAAGGAGACAGCCTGGAAAGGTGTGATTCAGCCACAGTG